GAATAGTTTGGGTTTGGTGACAGTTTTTTGGCTTAGATTAGGTCCTATCTCCTCAATACAAATCTTAAGGGAAAGTTTAGAAGTAAACTTTACGAAACCATTATTTATCTTCCAGGTTATGTCTTTATCGCGCTGTTACTTCGTATCCGAAGATGATAGGGTGACTGTTTCTTTCTGCTCATTGCATAACCTACAAATGTGACCGTCATCGAATCTACCCATGTGATGTACGTGTTTTTCAGATGCGAGTGACCGGTATATATGTTTTGCCCTCTCTCACTGTAGCTGTGAGTTTGCCAGCCAACTCGTTAGAGAAGTGTCCCTCGGTATTTTAAGTGCTAGTGCTAGCAATGATTGTGCCGTAGAAAACCATAAAAGAGGTTACACAAAAAATTCTCACTGGGATTTACACTGGAGGACGAGGTGGACTCTATATCGTTGATGACAACTTCACCGCAGTCTGTTATATCTAAGAGATTATGGAGGAATCCATCCCTCTAACCAGGGATCTCATTGGCAGAAATTTTTGATTTATGGATGGATGACGATGCTTGTCCTCATAGAGGCAGAGTTGTTGATCAATGTTTAGCAAACTTGGAAATTTCCCATCTGCCCCTTCCCCCAATGTCTCCAGACCTCAATCCCATTGATCACATGTGTGATGCGTTGCAGGGAAGGCTTTTGGAATCACTATCCGCTGCCAGTTGACCTACAACAACTGAGTGCCGCGTTGCAACATCTATGTAGAAAAATTTCTTATGAAATTAGTGACGACCTCATTACCTGTATGCCTAATAGGTGAACAGGGGTTTTAGCTAACAAAGAACATATCACTATTCATTTTGAGCAGTTTATAAAACATAATCTTCAAGGAATAGTTCGATTTTTAAAGGCTTTTATAGTTTATTATGTTCTCCCTGAGATTTCGGAAGGTTGTAGCATAACCATAGGTTCCAAAGTTATTCCAATAACTCTTTTGGCCTTTTCAGTTAAAATCCCTTTCCTTTAAAACATTTTGAGTATTCTATTTGTACCAAAGGTCTATTCTTTACAACGTTGAGTTTTTAGGGTCACGTAGGGTGCAGAATTATATTTGATATTAGACAAACTATAGTTAAACGAAGATAATCTTCTGAACCATACGAAGTTGAAGAATAGGCACGAAATGAAAATCGGAAGTGCTGTTTTATAATTGAGCTCTTCAATAAGCCAAATATGAACTTACTACACTAGTATTAATTATTGTATTATGTCTGAGAGGGAGAATGGTTCGGGTGTTTTGTATTACGTTGATTCTTATTATTTGGCGGATGGGACCTGGCTCGCGGTTGGATTTTGAAAACGGCGAACCCCTCGGTTTAAATTAAGCTGTACATTTTCGGCGTAATGTTTTGATAAGAATCTTTCAAGAGCTGTCGGCCGGGTGTATTTAGTATCAACAAGGTCGTAATTCGACTCGGCTGGGTCGCGTGCCCCCGCTCTCATCCCGGCCGTTTGTCTGGTTTAGCGAGCGCGCCGGATTGAATTTCATATTAAAGGAGTTCATCATTCTTGATTTGTCCGGCTAATCTGGATGAATTGTTGTAAAACTCCATGCGTCAAGGATTAAGCCGCTATTCCAAAAGGGTGCCGCGGCTATTATTTTCCCAGCAGCATTTTTTGCCCTTATAACCTACGGGTGAAAAACCGTAGTTGCTTCCATTTCCAGACTGTCGAGTTATAAACTTTAGTTCATTCTTAACCAGTGGGTTGTTAGGTTGCGTGTCGGAAAGACGATCATGCGTGTTTTATAGGTAGGAGAAAAAGAGGGCGGGGAATGCCTCGTCGCAGTAAAAATAACATAAAAGTGAAAGGTGAGCGGAGACGGTTTGACCAAATTGGAGCCGGGATGGGTTTACGAGGGACTCGAGAGCTCAAGGGCCTCTATAAACAGAGGTGTCAAGTACTTGGACTCTAATGCTGTTGGATCGGTGATACCCGGAGCTAATACCACTCCAGCACAATGGGCTCTCCATTTATCAAAACGGGTGATTTAATCCAATTGTTTTCTCTGGGAATGTTTAAAGGAGAAACTCTTCAAACCCTCTCAAGGGAAAACTGTATTTCCATTCAAGCCTGGTGAATTTAACTCACCCCCGCGCCAACGGGGTCGAAGTTTGCTCTAGATACGAGAATTTCCGCCGTGTCGGCGGGGGTCTCGGCAGATGCTGCACCACGGAGAACCGGTTCCATCTCCATTGTGTTCAGGTTTCGCTTAATGGCGTGAGTCGGTGACCTCCGACCTCTTGCGAACGCAGCCCTTTGCAATCTAGCATCAACCCTTTCCGAGGAGGAACGCCGGACCGCAACCCCCGCTGGGCCGAGTGTATGCGGACACCGTCGTCAAAGAGGATTAGGATTGTCCGGTTAAAAGGGTTACCAAATCGGTGTGTACACTTTCATTTTTTTATTTCTCTCCGCTTCAATATGCTTATGGAACTTTAAAAAAATCCATTTACATCCTAGATTTTTTTACATGCTAAAACCCATTATAAATCCATAATAAAAAGGTGATGAAACATGATTTACCATCCTTTATCGACACGGCTATGTTTTATACCCACTAAAAAGCCATTCTATAAACATATTTGCATACCTATAAAATCTTGTGATCTCGTCTTCAAACGATTTAGAAAAGCTTAAAGCAAAGGAGGATTTCTATTTACGAAACCGATTTTTATAGTTTAAAATAATGAAATTTTAAGGTATTAGCAAATAAAAATTGATGAAATAATATTAAACACCTTTGAAGTTAAATGCTTTTTAAAGGAAGATACAGTTAGAAATTTATTAGAATTTATATTGAAATTTTTCAAAAATCTTATTGCAAAGTATTCCACATAGAAAAACCTGGAAGAATTTACTTAGGATTTTGGCAATTGAAGCCTNGTAGTTCGCTCTTAATCTTGTAAAAGTTAAATGAATAGATTAATTAAATATACGCTTCTTCATAAAATCATGAACACAAAACATTTAATGTAGCAGTTGATTAATAGTAATTACTTTAACATTTTTGTATAGATTTGTCGAGTCGGGTATTGCATGGGGCTGGTCTACACCGAATATCTTTGCGCGGAACAATTGACAAATTCTCTGTCGGCCATGTCGTTGTGATCTTATTGGAGCAATACCACGAACTGGAGCAGAAGCAGAACGGTGGTTGTCGTCTGGGTACCCAGCCACATGGTTCAGGAGGGAACGATAAGGCTTACGAGGAGATCTCCTGACCTTCGGACTAATCCAGCGCGATGCGATCCTACCCCGTAAATCTAAAAAGGCAATAAAAAACACGATTAGATGAAAGTGGTAGCGTCGGTGGGCCGGATCAGCAGAGAAGCTCTCATGTATCAAGAGCACTGTTGATGGATCTGACTAGAATAAAATAGTAGTAGAGGGGTCATCATCCCACGATCAAGTATAGACCGTGTGAGGCGTATAACTTTGACAACATTCAGTTTTACTAATAGCCCGACTGCTAACGCCATCTTGTTCAGCTGTGCAGTAGTGAATCAATCGATTGAATATTGGTGTCATATACTTTAACCTGTTGGTTACCAACCTTATGCGTCCATCTTGTAGTAGGATGTTGCTCGATTTGTCCGACTTATTGAAGGGTGCAATTCCTTGACTCCATATGGAGAGCTTTTGGGAATGCCGATATGAGAATCGTGCTTGAGCACGGCAGTTCCTTGTTCCTATTCTTGGAGGAAACAGGGTTGTTTTATGTATATATGCGCAGATATATATGTACGCTAGTGTGTGCTGAGAGTGAATGTCTATATTAGCGTGATATAGCGTTGAGGGTCGAAGGGGCAATATTGAGTACTCGACCCACAATTAGGATAGTTATGTATGTGTGAAGTTGGAGGCATATCGACTACTTCACCACTCTAACTGACAATGAGTAATGGGTTGTAAATAAGTAAAACTGTAGTCCATTTAAGAATGTATTTATAAGCGTGTGAATATATTTAGAAACTCATTTTGTTGTGGCTGAAATGACCAAGTTGTTAGTAGGCCTTGGAGCCCGAGGTGAGGAGACCGGGGCTGCCAACACCATTGGTGATTGATTCTCAACCCCTTCTGGTTATTTTTGGTAAATTACAAAAGCTAGAATTGCCGGAATTGGACTTTGAAAAGTTAAGCTCAACTCTCTACCCGTGTATGTATGTACATGCTTGCGCAGTTTTGAGCTTATATAAATGTATTTAAAAAAATCATAATTAAGGGGTAATTGTATTATTTAAAATTGTAATTAGTTATATTATCTTACCCCTTATACATGTAAAAATCTAAATTATAATTTAGAGAGTTAAGCTTTTTAAAAAGATAATTTTATTACTTTAAAACATCTATGAAGGATAGACTTGTTTAAAATTCCTAGATATAATTCATAGTATTATGTTTAATTAGTATTGCATAGTAGTGTTGTTAATTTCTATTTGAACAGGAAATTTGGATTTGTGTAATAGTTTACACCAATCAGGGCATCAAACTCACATTCTAAGAAAATGTGAAAGCCGTTGCAATTTTTTTTTTCTTTCAAATCTGATTTATTTTACGGCTCGTGCAATTGTCGGACTCCGTAGCGCAAAAAAAGCTCACTTTCTCATTCTCTTTTGGTTTGCAAAGCAGTACGCAGCAAGGAAATAAGTCAACAGTGTACAATTGTCAAGATAGAAAAGACCTATTGTACATGCCGAACGTATTTCAAGACACCCACAACCTCCACTTTCACTTTGTTTTTTCAAAAACAATACACGAATAAAACGTTTTGATGTCATTCTATACAATAAAGCTTATATTTAACAAGCCATTTTGAAATTTATTTTCAAGTCGCTTGGTTGTTTATGTCTTAAGTTTATTTCCTGTCTTTTATATACACTGAGTACAATCCGACCTGCTGCTTAATATTGATTTATTTAACCGTTTTAACAAATATTTCTCTTTTTTTTTTACAGACCTGAACGCCGAATCGTACCTGGATGTCGCGTTCGGGCCGGGTACGCCCGGGATGGGTGGACCGAACGGCTCTCACCACCAGCGGACGAAGAGGATGCGGACTTCGTTCAAGCACCACCAGCTCCGGACGATGAAGTCCTACTTTGCCATCAACCACAATCCAGACGCCAAAGACCTGAAGCAACTATCCCAAAAGACTGGCCTACCGAAAAGGGTCCTTCAGGTAATTACACCTTTACGTATAGCTTATTAATCGTTTTTTTAATGATAATTATTTTGCAACTACTTTTAAAGATTTTTAATAATAATATGTTATATTTTTGAAGAGGATATTAATTACATACTATATATTTTTAATGAATTGGAGATTTTTTTGTAATTTTATTAAGCAATTAAGAAGCAGAGTTAGTTCATTCAACGATAAATTATTGAATAAAATAGGATATTTTTATTTTAAGATTTTTGAAGTACATAGATTGAAGAAATATACAGTGTATTATAAATTATTAATTTAACATTTAATCTATGTTCTTTGTCTATAAAACTCTAATGTACCAATACTCTTGTTGGGCGTGTCTTCGATGACTTACTTTTCCTTTACCTTCAAACATAATTTATGCTCAGTCAGACAGTTTTTATCGGCTCGGTCTGGAAATTGTACGTACCATTTATCATGCTAAAAACCGCACAGGTTCTAGCAAAGAGAAATTGTCATGGTCTACCCTCTTGCTCTGCCAGTCAGATAAGAACAAAACGGAAATCTCTTCAACCACAAAAAAAATATTAAACTTATTAATTGAACGACATAGAAAAACACCTTAATTAACCTTTTGAACATAATTTTTTAAAATATTTGTAAATGATGGTTCTACTCAGAAATTTGTTGTTTATAACGATCGGATTTCGAGCTCATCATCATCAGAGTTACAAATACGTCTCTCCAGATGAATTCTAACAGTACCGCCTTTTTGTTCCGAAATATTCATGAATAACTTTGAAAAAAATTATTTCAAATCATATAACATAAATTAAATCTGTCCTTTCTGGAAACTCTATGTAGACGATATATTACATCGGTCGGGAACGCTAGATGATCTCAAAGACCTCCAATTAATTAATTATTTACACCCTAGTATAAATTTTACATTGGAAATAAATAAAGATGGCTATTTAAACTTTTTAAACTTAAAACTGTCCAGAATAAATAACCTAATACCGACTCTATCATACCAGCAGATTCTTGTCACCAAAAAGTTGCTGGATTCTAAATGGGTGCTAATTAAAAAAAAAAATTAGGAACAACGGCTACGCTTAACCTTGGCTAAAACAATGGGTATCAAGAAATACTTATCGATAGACTGGTAATAAAAAAATAAACTTTAAAAGAACCAACAATAGGACTTTCATTCAACTTAACTAAAGGGTATAAAAACAAGAACATAGCTATCATGTCAGATAGCGAAGCAACCATCAAAGTAATAAGCTCAATTATCATTAGTTCAATGATGGTGTTGAACTGAAAACCAAGTTAAACGTATGCACGGTACGCAGAACAAATTCAGCCTCTGATGGGTCCCAGGACACATGGGAGTAGAAGGCAAAGAGAAAGCCGACACCCTTGCAAGGAAAGGAGCTGCTACACCGCTGATACGACCCGAACTCTGTGGCATAGGAACCCGCACTATCAATGCGTACCTCAGACAGAAAGACAAAAAGAAAATGAGCAATGGAATTCACTCATTGGACACTGGCAATCCAAGAATCTCCTAACACATTTCGGAAGAGAATAAGTTACAGAATATGTCAAAGGAAGCAGGAACAAACTACGAATCCTAACAGGATTCTTAACACGACACTGCAAGCTAAATGGACACTTAAAGAAGATTGGAATAATCCAAGACGGCACATGTAGATTTTGCAAGGAGGCAGAGGAGACACCACCACACATACTAACAAACTGCGGTGCTACACTTGTTTTGGGCTGTACAATGTGACCATAGAAGAGATTCGACTACCAAAACCGGGCGTACTAATCAAGTTCCTTTATGAAATAGGAGTCACCAGTGTGCTTAAGGCGCAGAACGGGGATACAACAGCTCTTAAAGGGCGCAGTATATTACACACGGACTTTTGCATGTTCATCTAAATCCACAACAATCAGACTCAGCCACAACACCAAAAATGAATAATTTTTTCGTAGCTTGCCATGCATTGCTGAACCATCTACTTAAACGGGAAGGTTTAAAGTAGCTTTTAGAGGTGCGTCACTTTGCAAAACTTAAAGACAAGGTTGAGATTTTGTTAAAAAAACCAACGGTTTTACCAACGTACCTAATGATTGCTATCTTAAATATATAGAACAAAGCGGCAGAGAAATTAAAACAAAAGTTAAAGAACGTGTCTAAACAAACAAATTTTCTGAATTCAAGGACCATCTAAATGAAACAAAACACAATTTCAATTTCAATTTATATACAACAGTGTTACCCTGTTTCAAAACAGGGAGGGAATTAGCTTGGATGGAAAAATTTTAATGTAAAATTAAACATGGAGATAAATGAACAAATAATATTTTGATTTATCTCCGATTTTACAAATGAACTTAAATAATATTTGACATACAAATTAATCACTATTTTAAATTTATTTTCGTACGGTATTTATTAGAATAATATTTAGTTGTGTTGTAATTCGCGTTTTTTTCCACGTTCAAAATTGAGCGGTATTAAAAACCAGCTTCCCATTGAAAGTAACGTTAGCGGTGGATTTACAAGTCACTCAATTCATGTCGGGATTTGTGTTAGAACTCCTTCAAACTGATGATGTGCGATAAATGTTTGAAATCAAGATTGTTGTAAATAATCCACACTTTCATCATTTATATAAAAAGATTTCTGTTTTTAGGTGATTGTTTCATTTTAGTCAAGGAATTTCGGAAAAAATTGGGAAAGCTTGCTATTTCGATTGGTAAACTATCCCACAGTAATTTTACAATTACAACCACGTGAAACCCCCAAGATATAAACGATATTGTGCAAAATCTAAATTTGTTCCGTTTGTACCGTAACGAAATTTCGCAATACGACCCGATAAACAAATATTTATAAACAAAACCCATTCGGATGTCGGCTCGATAAGGATCGAAGAGATAAGCTCCCCTATAATCCAAAGTGAAAGTCCAAAGAGCATTAAAGCGGGATTTGTTTTGAAATGTCCAAATTCCATTGGGATTGAGTATGGATTCCGTGGGGCTCTCTTCTTCGCGTTTCACGTGAAGACCTCGCGCAATTAGGAACGAATGTCACAAACGTGGCTCCAAATCGTTTCAAAAAGTTCATTTCAGAAATAATGGCTCATCTACTGACGGCCTCTCGGCCATTTCGACCAATTATAACGGTTAATAACGTGTAAGTCGTGGCTATTAAATGTATCGAGGAATAAAGATAGCGTACAATATTATCGTCTTAAAGTCCAATAAATTCAATACTTCCAATTGTCTATAAATCTTTAAAGATACACACTTACACGCAAACTTGAGAACAAAGCGAAAGTACATAAACTTGACAGTTCAATGGAATGAAATATATTAATTCTCCAAGTTTTTGATCCTACTCAAATAAGACCGTTTTATTATTTGTTTATTAATTTAATTACCGTCTGTAAAAACCATACCGTTTACATGAATCCGTAGGGGTTGAATTCCCCCAGGTTCTGAATAGTTACGTACTAGTCGGAAGGAGGTCCCGGGGCCATCTCCGCTTCAGCCGCCTTACTGGGTTGTGGGCGGGTAATGTTGGACGGATCCGGCTAATAGGTTAACATGTGAGGATAGTTTTTCATGGAAGATGTGTTTAAACATATTAGGGACCATTGACCATGGTAATTTAGATTTGTAAGAAGAAGAAAGAAGAAGCTGTCCATTGAGCCGTTGCTTCGAATTCTAAGATGATATGGGTGGCTGTTTCTTCCTCCTCATAACATAATCTGGAAATGGGATCATCGTTATGTAGATGTTTTGTCAGATGCCAAGTACCGGTTAATAGTAGTATCACTCTTTTGAGTCTGGCACTTTCCAATTGCATCAAAACAACCCCTCACAGCTGCCCTCGAACTCCTTCTAAATCGACGGTAAACTGCATTAGAGTCTTTTAAGATTTAAGATGCGAAAATAACAAAATTACCCTTGTTTGGGTGATAGGTGAGCAAACGGGCAACGAAAAGGCCTATAAATTGGCCAAATAAAGTTCAATGAGGACACCTGTTGGCCCTGAACTCTCTTGTTACCGAACTGTCAAAAACGCGAATCCATTAGACAATGGATTAATCTAATTATTTAAATCCTCTGGTCAATGGGAATCTAGCCCGGGTCTAGATTAAACTAACGGCAGAACTACTAAATCTAGGACGTGCTAGGACTAGGGTAATGATTGGACTGCTAACTGGTCACTGTAGACTCCGTAGGCATATAGACTCCGAGTGGCAAAAAAAGCCAGGAATAAGAATAAACAGCGGATCACGTCTTCTGTTGGTGCGAAAGCCTATATAGGCTGAGATTCTTAATCCTGGGAGAGGAAAAGCCAGGGCCTGAAGGATAAATACAGGTGCCTTTGAAAGTTTCAAGCTTAATGAGGAGCTCTAGATAAAAAAAATCGAGATGCACAATAGATCAATACTGGTCGCGGTTCACAAGTCGTAAAACGGCCGGCTCCTTTATAATCTATCTATCTAGTCCTATCACTCCTCTGAATCTGGCCTTCTCCAACTAACTACAGCAGTGTGTTGGCCAGTTTTAGTGAGGGTTGTTTTAGCATAAGCTTACTGTGCCTTGCATTGCAGTACATATTAATCATTTCGATAATTTCATTTTGTGTTAATTAATCGGCATCCATCTCTTGTTCCTTGATATTAGAAGTCATGCCGCTTTTGCAATTTGACCAATTGTACCCTTTATAAAAAATAATCTCGCCCAAGGGGGCTGATTTTCCTCCCCTCTGGTCTTCAAGGATCCAACGACTCGATCCATATTTGCTTCACAGTCAATTACGCGTTTTAGGCTTTGGGCTCGTTAGGCTTCCTCGGAAGCGCCTCTCCCCTACGGCACAACCCGTTAATTTGTTAATATCCAATCCCTTGAACAGGTGGACCGGAGGAGTTGAAGAATTTCTTCGTTACGGCCGAGTCGCACGGGAAGGCGCATTTGCATTAACCATCCGGTTAATAATA